AGCCCCATTTTAAGGAGAGAGAGGCCCAGAACCTCGTCATCTTTCGAGCGCTGCAGAAACTAAACCTGTTTATCCTGAAGCGGACACAGCAGGAGAGGGACGCCTTTCTTTGCATCTGAGCGAGCTCTCTACGGAAAAGGTGGCAGAAGTGCTCTGGGGATCTCAGGAGTTAGAGCTGGGACTTACACATTGACCTAGAAAGGGGACAGCCTTCAGTTCAGTTACAATAGTAAGAGCTGTTCCAAGACGAAAGTGTTCCCAAAATCTGCAGAGGCAGAACGCTGGAGCGGTTGAACCTGTGTGTCTCATTCTGGGGATAATAGCCCTGCAGAGGGGCAATCTGAGAAGCTGAGGTATTAGAAGCAAGGCGCGGTGCCAGGCACAGGGCGCGTGAGCGGGGTGCTCGCTGGGGTTGCCGCCATCCCGTGGATGCCCACGTGAAGCCTGGGCTGTCGCTGCGTAGAGTGGCAGCGCGCACCTCAATGGATGTGTGGGGCCAGCGAGGTGGCTGTCCCGTCTCAGCGCTGCCTGGGCGGATTGGCTGATTGCAGTTGGCGAAAGCAAGCTCTGGAACCAGTCAGCCTTCTCTGTGACCTTGAATGATGTAGCCTTTTGTTTTGTTTTGTTTTGTTTTCAATTCTCTGTGATTCACCTTCATTTTCTTTAAAATGGAGATAATCACAACCCTGCCTCAGGGTTGTTACAAGGATAAAAGAATGAATATACATAAAAAAATGTAGAATAATGTTTGACATGCTAATTTTTTAATTCATATGAACACATAATGCTGAAGTAGTTGACAAAGGGTTATTGGAGGATATATTGAAAAATACCAAAAACATAGGTAAGGGAGAGACAGCAGGGAAGTTATCCCCATAGGGAGAGAGCTTGAGGAGAACACGAGGTAAAATGAAGCATCGTGCCGTTGCCAGGCGGTACGGCGACCTCACCGAGTGCCCCGAACACAGACCTTGGCTGTTGCTGACGGGTTAGGAAGAAAACTGGGTGGGCGAGGGGGAGACCGCGAGGACTTGGGTGTAGGGTGGCCAGCAGAGATATCCACATGCTCGCAGGTCGGGGAGGAGCACACACGCGTGATATTTCAGAATAACCTTATGGCGTTTTCAGACTCGCTGGCCTTCCTTGTGCTTAAAAATTATAGATAGAATAGTAGAATCTTTTATGCAAAACCTTCTTTAACCTAGAAATAAAAATTTTATTTCAGGGTGCTTGTATTCCAGGAAGTGCAAGACATACTTTCTCCAGAAAAGTTGTCTCCTCGGAGCCCTATCACAGTGTTTTTTGTGTGAATTGTTCACATTCAAAATGTGAGATTTGAGTTTGAATTTAAGATCAGTTGCCAGATCACTTTGTGTTAAATTGATGAGACAAATATTACGCAAAATGCTTAAGATGGGTTTGCTTTGATACGAGACCCACCAAATGAGTGAAATTGGTGTGACCGGGGACTTGGAAGTTGATTCTGGGAAGGCTCGCCCCCCCGGGGGGGGGCGCCCTAAAATGCACTGCACACCCCAGGGCATAGCTTCTCAAAACAATTCCCCGCACAGGACAACACTTCATTCGCTAACTGCATTAAGCATCAGTACTTGAATCAAAAACAAACATCATCATTTATAGTAATTCAAACACTAGTATATTAAGAGTATTCTGTTGCTTCATACATACAAGCTCCGTGAGAGAAAGGGTCATGATTTTCTGTTCTTGGGGTAACTCATCGGGCCAGTGCGGGTACGGGGTCGATGTTTCATTGAACCCAGTTTAAGCAGGGAGGACACAGGTAGCGGGAGAGCCATGAGCTGTTCCCCAGGTGAGGACGTCAGAGCAGGTTCTGTGTCCGCACCTCGCCATCCATCAGCAGCTGCTTCTGGTGGTTGGCGGCCGGCAGGGGTGGAATAGCGGCAAAGACCTGACGTTGCAGTCGGGCAGGTGGGTGTGGACAATGACTGTAATCTAGGTGGGCGTGATGGTGTATTTCTCCCTTAACAGCTTCTCAGGCATCTACTGTGTAACTTTTTGCAATTTTAAATTTTACTCACATTGGAATGGTCAGGAATTATACTTAAAAAAAAAAAAATCTAGTCCACTCTTGTGCTCAAGTGAATGAGTATTTTCTATCACAGGGACCCAAATTTGACCCAGAAAAGAGTGGTTAAAATAAGATATGACGCCCGAGAGCATGATGGCTTGAGAAGGACATGCTTGCCTCCCTTTTCTTTCCAAAGTGTTTTTGGATCTCATGAGAGATTTCAGGCTTTTCTGCCGCTGCTACTGATTCTGTCAATTCATTCCTTCAAGCCACACCAAGAAACACGTACAAGATCCTGTAATTCCCACGGGGTGGAGAATGAGATAGGTGGGAAGTTTGCTTTAGCGAAAGCCTTTCTCTTCACAAATCAGAAATTCTATCGTGTATACTTCTATTCCCCTAAATAACTGGCCAGGGGATCATCAGAATGAGCTATTGCAGAAAGCCACCTTCATCTTCCCAGTTTCTGTGAGCGGTCCCCCCAACCAGAATTGCAAAGTAGTTTAGAGAATCTTGGAATATAAAACATGGTACAGGGCACCGCAGAAGATTTAATCTTATTTATGGAAAGGCGGTTGGTAGGGGAAGGGACAACAGGCCAGAGTGGCTTGGGATCACCATTAATCATTTCTTAAAGCACCAACAAAGTGAAAGCCTCCTTCTGGAATTCACTGTGAGTGACACAGAATCCTTCCACTAAGCAAATATGTGATGAGTTGATATAAAAAAAGAAAAAGAAAAAGAAAAAAAAGAAGGTCCTGAACTCTCGACAACAGATCTAATACAGTGCATGCAGAAAATCAAAAACATGCTTTCTATCTGACTCAAAATAAAGGTGCACTTAAACTTGTAAAAGACAACATTTTTATTTGAATGATATGACACAACTGTCACAGGAGTGTTACCTGCTATAAAGAAAGCCCAAGAATTATTACCTTTATTAGACCGGTGACACTGAGCTTTCGCCATACATTTCTAACTTCTGTCCCTCTACAGAGACAATTTTCTTTTCTTAAATAAACTGTCATGCTAGTGTTAATATATGGTCGGCTCTCTCATGCTCTGAGAATACTGCTGATATAAAACATGTATATGTTAGATTGGTAATAGTATCTTTAGTGTAGCTGACTAGAACAAATGTGTCTCCTCATGGCTGTGCTAATGTGATAAAGGAAAATTGGCCGTTCATCAGCTTTTGGCTGGGTAAAGACAGTAGAGATGGAGCCACATTCTTTTTTATGCATTAATACCATCGAGAACTTTTCACGAGTTATATTTCATGTGCCTGCATGTTGCTCAAAGATGTTGTAAAACATGAGATAATGCTACAAATAACAAAGTAGAAAAGCCTGTATCTTTTATAATGATAACAGTCAAACACCAAATGACAGTAACAGGCTGTAAAAAATGGGATGCAAAAAAAAAAAAAAAATACAGCCCTTCTCCCCAGCAGAGAGGTATATATCCAGACCCACAAGGAGTGGGTGTGTGGTTTTAGGTCTTTATGGTAAAGCTTTGTTTTGTAATTAAGTAAAATAAAACACTGGGAAAGGGCATTGGAGGAAGAACATGGTTTAAGTGAAGCGGGTTGATGGAGCACAGAAGAGCCGCACTCAGAAACTTTGTGAAGCAGTAACGTTACCCGTGTCCCGGTTTGGTTTGCTTTTGTTTGAGAGAGAGGGGTTTTTTCAAAGGGGTTCTTAGGGTAATCATTCACATGATTTAAAGATGTTGGAGAATTGTTTATTTTCATCAGCTCTTGTGAGGCCGTTTTAATAGGCTAACATTTTAAATGCTATGATTTGATATATATTTTTGATAACATATTAACATCTAACATTGCAACTGCAAGACATTAAATCAGTCCCCGCCGACCCCCGTCCCATCCCCCTCACCAGCCTCTTGTTCTCCATTTCAGCCTCTTGACGAGAGCGCCAACGATCCCTTTTACATTTAACTTAAAAGCACTTAAACAGAACCATTTGCAGAGACTAAAGTTGACATCAAAACGGCTGACCAGTTTATTTAGAAGTCTGCAGTCATTGAAGATTTTGTAGAGATACCATGTAGGAAGTAATCTGTAAAAATCTTGGATGGCTGTTCAGAGATCACACAAATAAAAATTTCAGAACTTTGAATGGTGGAATCCAGGGATCATTGAACTATAACTCACAGGACCAATCTGGCTGGGCACCTGTTTTTATAAAAGTTTTACTGTAAGACAGCCATACTCAATCTTTCCTATGTGGTCTGTGGCTGGTTTCCTGCTACAACAGCGGAACTGAACCGTTGTGACATGGATTGGTCAAACCACAAAATCATTTGCTTGCAAATAAAAAAAAAACATTACTCTCTGGCTGTTTACAGAGAGTGTTTATTAATCCCTTGTATAGAGAGTTATTAAGCTGCCTAAATAATTAGCCTAAAAAAGATGAGCAATTTAAAAAAAAATCTGTATATGGGATAGTATAGCTGAGAATTACTAACACCTAAGAAAGTAAATGTTTACAGCAAGTATTTTGTATTAGAGCTTAAATTCAATTACTTCTATGTCACATATACATACACACACACACACACACGACATAGAAATACAATATTTGGTTTTGAATATGTCTTCATTTTGTATTCATTTGTGTTTATTTCCAAATATTTAACTACTGTCTAAAGAAAAACATAAAATGTCAACTATAAGGGACAAACAGTTGTGTGACCTGTGAACACACGGTAGGTGCCGTCACAGCCCCAGACTGCAATGTGTGGCTGTGTATCTAGTTACATAAACACAGAGATACCTCACTGAGCCATTGGAATTCATTCTCCGTCTTTCTAACTGAAGAAAGTGGAGAGACAGAAAATTAACTTAAGAAAGACTGCTGAAAGGTAGTTATTACAAAATTAAAGGTGCTAAATTATGCGATTAAAATGATAATGTGATAATTTCTTACAGGTGCATCAGACAAAAATCAGTTTCTTCATCAATGGTTTGGAGGAAGATAATACAGCTTTTGATGCAAGAACTCTAAGTGGTTCAATTATAGATTTTGCCTCTGGTGCTACCCAGATAGGACAGAGTTTAAATGGTAAGACTCTGACTTCAGAAAATTATTTATTTTATTCAATTATATTGTTACTAAGTGTGCCAAAAATAATATTTAAAAATGCCGAGGTGTATCTGTTTCCTAGAGCGACTGTAACAGATTGGCACTAAGTGCGGAGAGGCTTCTCAATACAACAGAAGTTTATCCTCTCCCAGCTCTGGGCAAGAGGCCTGAAACCAGGATCCACAGAGCTGGTCTCTCTGGGAACCGTGGAGGGAGAACCTCTCCTAGCCTGCCTTTCTGGTGGCTTCTAGAAACCCTTAGCACCCCTTGGCTTAGAGCTGTGTGACTCCAGTCTTTGCCTCCATAGTCACATGGCCTCCTGCCCTGTGTCTTCTCCCTTTTCTTCTCTTCTGAGGATACTTTCGGTTAAATTTAGGGCCCACCCAGATCCGCTAAGGTCTCATCTCAGAATCCTTAATCACATCTGCAAAGGCCTGTTTTCCAGATGAGGGTCCCGGTCACAAGTTTGGGGCGGACATATCTTTGGAGGCCTCTCTCCAACCCACTCAAACAGGGAAGCCTTATAATTAGAATGTGTCTACTCTGATCAGTTTTTAAATTAAGAACAATGTGTAATAAGCTATATTTTCTTTCTTTCTTTTTCTGGTTTCGATTTTTCTGTAGGGCTGTTGTTAAAGTAGGACTTAGAGTATCAGATACAAACTGAGAAATAATATTTGACATATAATAAACTGGATTTATGGTCTTCATATCTTTCCATCCTAAAAATGGTCATAGAGTTTAAGAAGACAACACACACAACATGCTGAAAGAAACAGAAACTAAATTTAGAACTATCTTGACGTTACTAGTGCATGGTTTATAAATTGCCTATATTTTAAAATAAAAATGTTATTTATTAAAAGTACTCATTATAATAAAATCTAAACAATACAGAACTCAGTGAGGTAGAGTTTATTTTTCTACCTTCATAGATAGACACAATTAACTCTATACCCTTCCAAAATTTTAGTACCTATAGCTAGAAATAGTTATAAATATAATTTCACAAAAGTGAAATTATAATACAAATGCCTTCTCTGAGTTCTCTAAAAATAACTACTTACCCTCCAAATGTTATGGACAACATTTCATGGCATATTCCTTCTCATTTAAAGTGATTGCATTGTGCACAATTGTATAGCTATCAAAAACTTTTTACACAAGTTTCTATTAATGGACATTTATGTTTTTTTCTAGTATTTCAATATTATTAGCAGTTATTTGATAGAAAACATATATGTTGTATATATATATACAGCAGTTGTATTGTCATATATATAGATATCTATACATATATATAGATATCTATATATATCTGTATTTATGTCTATTGCTCTTATAGGTCCAAACACATAATCATACACACACACACGCGCGAACAGTTGTCTGATGGTGCAGTTCCTTCAGACCTCACGCTTTTGGTGCTAATGTACCTGAGTTCAAATCCCATCTCCCTACTTACTAGCCACATCATCTGCATCACCTTTCTAGTTATCCCAAATTTAAAATGATAATGATGATGATACGACAGTTCCATTTTGAGGATCAAATGAGGTTCTGTGACAAGCATTACTGTTTTTCCAGTGTCTGGAACATAGTAATTGTTCAGTATTTGTTGAATGAATGAATCACTAGAACTGGGCCTTGTATATACTAAACCATATTGATATGTAATGCTGTTATTAATAGTATCATATTTATTTTCCATAGAAGTTAGGTTGAAGCATATAGTCCTTTACTTTTTAAATACATATTAGAAAGATTACCCTAATGTGTAACAACAGTCTCCCTCCTGAAAGGTTGTAAAAATTTACAGCCTTATTTAAAAATATAGGCAAGTCCTTTCTTCCTTGAACACTAGCTGACCATACAGATTTTTCATTTTTTTCCTCCTTTGCCATTTCTCTCATTGAAAAATATTGTTAGATGCCTCCTTAGAATTATTTGGCCATTATTGAGCTTGAGTAGCTTTCCCTGTATGTTTTGATCATTTGTATTTCATAAATTCTGTGCCTGTATTTATACCCTAGAATTTATTTTATTTGTAAAAGTTCATTACAGTTGAAAATGTTATGCTGCACACATTTCTTCCAGTTTTTAGATAGTCTGATGGTTTTGCATTATAGAAGTTTAAAAATATTTTAAATTTTTTAAGGAAGGCAAAGTCATGCATGCAATATTACATAAATATTAAGGATCCAGTTTGATGAATTTTTAATCTGTGTATATGCCTGTGTAATTCTCACCCAGAAAAAAAGCTATGGAACATTCCCTGTAGCTCAGACTTCTGGTGAATACCAACTCTAATGATAAACACAGAATAGTGTCAATATAGATTATTATCCTAGATTAGTGTTGCCTCTTCTTGGCCTGTCATGCAATTAAATTGCACAGTAGGTACTCTTTTGGGTCTGTTTGTTTGTTTGTTTGTGTGCTCAGCACTGTGCCTATCAGATTTATCACTGTGTGTTGCTATTTCTTTAGCTTTAAGAAATACTTGTTTAATGTCTAAAATTGGCATTCCAGCCAGCAAAATATGAGAATTTCTGTCATTCTACATCCTTGCCAACAGTTGTATTGTCATATGTTGTTACTTGCCAGTCTGGCAGGCATGTGGTATGTTTTGTGTTGATTGATGATATTGAGAACTTTTTCATGTGCTTATTGGTCATGTGAATATGATGTTTCCTAAAGTACATATTTTCGTTTTTGCCAATTTTCAAATTGGACAGTTTGTCTTTTATTACTGATTAGTAGGAGTTCTTCAATATTTTGAGTGTGAGTTCTTTGACAGACACCTGAATGGCTGTTTTGTCTGGCCTGTTGCTTATCTGTTCATTCCCTTAATGGTATTCTCTGAGCAAGTAGACATGTTTTATTTTAATGAAGTCAAATTCACAAGTGTTTTTTAATACTTAGTCCTTTTTATGTCCTGGTTAGGATATCCTTGAGATACATTCCTGATACCATGAATAATTTTTTTCTGGATGTGTTATTATTTTTACTCTGCAAATCCAGGTCCGGGTTTTATCTTAAATTGCCCTTTAGGTGTGGTATGAGGTAGGGGTCAAGATTCATTTTTCTCCCACCTGAACATCTAGTGGACCTACAGACACTGTCTTTGAAGGGATCATCACTCCTCTGCCACTCTGCGGTGGTAACTTTGTCACAAGTGACACATCGGTGCCCATCGAGGTGGCCTTGCTCCCGAGCTCTGTTGTTCCAGGGATCTGCTTGTCTGCACTTGAACCAAAACCTCCAGCCTTCATTATGGCAGCTCCCAAAAGCCTTAGTGTCTGAGAGGGTTTGACACCTCCTCCTTTTTTTCTTTCAAGATTGTCTTGGCTATTATATGACTTTTAGAAGCAGCAGATTTCACAAAAATTTATGTGGGACCTAACTCATCAACCCAATTTTGGGACAGTGGGCAACTGTACAATATCAGATTGTCCAATCCATGGATCCAATTCATTCCAATTTCTTTCAACAGTGTTTTTAGGTTTCTGCATTGAGGCATTACTCATATTTGTAAGGTTCAGTCCTATATATTTGTTGGTTCTTTTTTCATACAATTTTGCTGAGTATAATTTTTGAACTCAGTTTTCTAACTTGGTTTCTGTTTATATAAAAATACCTTCAGTTTTTTTACTGACCGTAAGTCCAATGATGTTGTGACATTTTACTTCTAATAGTTATATAATCCTGTCATTTGCACGTAGCAGGCGCGCACATATTTTCAAATGTTTGTAATGAGTGAACGAACGGTGACGGCTCTGGAGTTGTCACATAGACACTGTTACGGGTTCTGTTACTAGTAATTTAGAAATAATGCAAAAGTTTGTTTTCCCTTACACCCTGAGTTATCTAGCCACATATGTAACTTAAAGATACACATTTCGGATATTCGTAATACAGTCTAAAACGCTGCAGTGAAGTTGCCAAGCTCTGGGGCCCAACAGACCTAGGATTGAATCCAGTCCTGTCGTGAGCCTTTGCTCGAAACACAGGGTCCGGCAGAAGTAACGCCTGCTTGAGTGTGGTTGGTAGGGTAATAATATGAGTGTAATCATTTATAGTTTTAGTTTGAGCATTTCACCTAAAATGTCCTATGGTGTGCTTGAGTGTGATACTGTTATGTTACCAAATTGCATGCTTACGATTTTGTAATAGATTTTGTAATAAAAAAGGGCGTTATTTGTGCTGGACCCTGTGTGTGTTCTTGGAGTGACGTTACCAAGGTAGCGACACAGTTGTTCCTGACTCTGCTCCCCCTCACAAGAACCACTCACAGCAGTTCAGGAACAGGACGCCACTGAAGGCATCCCCAGAACGTGCGGGGCGCGAGGAGGCTGGAGCAGCCCCCGACTCCACATCTCGAAAACCAAGGCAGACGGCGGCAGAAGGTGAGGGATGCGGCTGTGGCCGCAGTCCGGCCACAGCGACCGTCCCAGGACAGTGCTGCCCCCACGGTATGGTCGCCCCGAGCCTCCACCCAGCATGTGGGGCGCTCTGCCGAAGGCCCTACTCAGACCCTCTACCACAGGGATTGTCTCAGGTTTCTAATCTATCACAGGCTGTTTTTAATAAATCATAGAAATATTATAAAAATGGTAGGAGATAATTTGTTTAGGCTCTGTTGCTTGTCATATAGTAAATGTTCCGTGAGCTCCTCTTTGAACATCTGTTTCCTTATTGGGAAGCAGAGTTAACAATATGTTTCTGCGTTGAGAGAGCAAAAGAAAAAGTCTCTATAAACAACTCTATTATTTTTATTTATCTGTGCTCTTCGATCAAGCTAAACTTACGTGAATGAGTCACATTTTAAGAAACCTGCGTATTTAGAAACTTAGTTGGAGTAATTAGTATATTGGAGAATTTTACCAAGTACTCTGTGTGCAGGATTTCTTAATAACACATTAAATCTTGGGAGCCTTATTTCAATATTTAACCCCCATTAGCGCTTCTGAAAGTGTTTT